AACGCTGTGTGCGTGAACAGAAATGAAACTTTTCATGTGATTTCAGACACTCTTGTTGATATAATTTTTTTTACTTGTTTTATATCAAAAAGGATTTCGCATGGGTTCGCTAATTTTCTTTTCTTCCTTTTTCTAGGATCAATGGCTAATTCCTGTGAAAACAAGGCTTTCATTGGCCCGAAGAAAATTTCACAAAGGCTCTGGAATTTCTTTCCGTCTTTTTCTTCAGCTCGCATGAATTTGAAGGGAGTAAGGAAAAGGAGTTATTATTATTTCGTACTCACTGCGGTCATAACTGAGTGAAAAGGAAAATTATGTCTCCTTATACTCGTTGGCTGTCCTACAACCAAGACGTACAATGTGTTTTTTTTCTCTTTGCCTGCTTTCACATCATGAAGATTGAAGACATATATTGCCGTTTTTCTTCGCTTCGCCTTTGTCGTGGTATTACTTTATGCATGAGTAGTAAACAATATGCGTATTATACAGTAAAATTAAGGGGGTTTATTTGCAAGTACATACTCGCAGTAGTAATATCCGCTAACTGTCCTCATTCTCTCCCTCGTGTGTCTCTTCTCGTCGTGAAGAGTGTTAGATGCCCTCAGAGGATAAACAAATAGATTGCTATATTGAAGATGTCACCACATCTCCACTTTTCTTTTGATTGACTCGGATTTACAAGTTCAGTATTGTAGGTTTGGTCACCGGTCTCTCGGATTTTGTCTTGATAGTTTGCCCTGAATTAGATTTCCCTTGGGTGATGAAACTGCAGTGTGTATCTATGTGGGTACCTTTACATTTGTTGGGTTTCTAACACAGTTTGGTCTATACAATGGAATTAAAAGATGTCTATTCATTCGTATAGTACCACTGGACTCATTGACTTAGTAAGATCATGGTGCTGAAGTTTTCTTTGCCACAGTCCCAGTGACTTTGGCGTCAGTCACTCACGCTTGTCTCCCTGTTGGGAAGCTGTTGATATCAGATGCTCGGTGGCGTTTATTTAGTGACTCTGATCAGCATTCTTTCTTTCTTTTTCCTTAGATTTGACAGCAACACTGTCTGTCAGTGGTGGGTACATTTGCGATAGACGAATTGGCCCTGTTTGAGCAAGACGGAGCGGAATTGACTTGTGTCCCAACAAGGCAAGGTGCAGATTTGTCGCTTTGGTCAAAGGATTCTTTGTTGTTTTGTCTTTCCGTTCAGCTTCTTTGCTTTGTGAATATCTAGGCCCGCTGGTCACATGCTGGAATCTATACTTTGAAGTGAAAACTGAAGATATACTACATGCAAACTGTCCGCTGTCAGTTACCAACTTGCAATCAGTGGCGTGCGATATTGATTTTAAATTGACTGTCATGTCAGATGACTTTAAAAGAGAGTGATGTTCACTATTTCTATGAACTTTGAGTAGTACTCCATTATTAATATATACAGTTTGCCTTTAAAAGTGAAAATGTCTGGTCCTGGCAGAGACTAGGACCAATCTGGAAGTTTTATCAGAATGAGAGGCTCTGCATGGTTAGTATACTCTTTTAAACAATTTATGCATTTAATCACTAATTAATTTAGCTGCTTTTTTAGTCTTTGCCACCACACACACTGATGTTCGCACTCTTTGATATTCATGAAGTCTCTCAAGGACGCCATTTTGTAGCGCAAAGAAAATGAAAGTGCCCTTATGCAAGAACACGTCATGTACAGTAAGGCAGCCACGCTCTACCCAGTACATTCTTAACATTCCTGAACAGGATTTGTATTCAAGCTATCAATCATTTCATTTGAAATATATTTTTTTTTATATATTAACACACACACACACACACACACACACACACACACACACACACACACATATATATATATATATATATATATATATATATATATATATATATATATATATTCCATACAAGGCGAAACCAAAATTGCCTAAATCATATAACAGAAATTGCGCAAACCCACCTGATAAGAGAGGCTCACTGGGAAGTTTCCTATTATATAGTCCTTATAAAAGTTAATGCTCTCAATGAGTTCTGTGTCTGCACTTTGTGTGCTTTCCTTTACCGGTGCTCGCGACAGTGTCGGCTGCAGTGAGACTCTTTCCAGCAACATTAAACTCATCCGGTAGCGTTGTATCCTCGGAAGTAAAGCATCCAAACTTTGGGCCCCAAGAACCAGTGGTTTCTTTTGGACAGCTAATCTCTCAGGGTTTTATCCTTTTCAGTTAACTGGAGAATTAACTTTCTTGATTTACCCTTCCCAGAAAACTGCGTAACTCACTCACATTGTTAGGTTCCCGCATTTCTGTCACAGCTGTATTTTTGTTTGGATCGGCCTTGATTCCTCTATCTGAAATAAAGTCACCAAGAAATTTTACTTCTCTTTGTGAGAACTCATATTTTTCCATATTGTGTGATACCAACTTTTTCCAACTTTCTCAAGAGTGCATGTAAACGAGAATCGTGTTCTTGTGTGTATGTCCATATCAGGATGACATTTATACGGCAGACAACACCTTCCAAGCCTTCGGAAACCTCTGTGGCTATCCTATTCTGGAAGTTCTCTAGTGCCGACGCTATCGCAAATGGTAGCCTTTTAAAGAAATATATCCCCAAAAGTTTGATAAAAGTAGCCATATTGACATCAAGCCTGCTGAATATCTTGGCATCAGTTAATGATCTTAATGTTTATTCTGTTGATAGCAGGATGTACTTTTCCCTAGACACTGACTTGAGTTGAGTGAGGTTAACAGATATGCGATCATGTCCAGATTTTTTCACCACTACCATTCAATGGCTCCACAACACGGCTGATAACGCCTTGTCGATCCATGTCTTGCAGTTCTTTTTTTTTTACTCATGGAAGGGTTGCTTGATGTAGTGTCTTGATTGAAAATGGTTTCATACTCGGTTGGAGTTTGTGTTAATCGTTGCTTCACTCAACTAAGACCGCTGCTCAGCTTTAGGATACCTGTTTTTGAGTGCATCCAGCTAAATGCTGTTGACACGTGACACCAGCACCAGCTTAGTGATGGCCGGTCAGCCTCCTTGAATTGGGTGCAGTTTTTTGATCACCGCTTCCTTCTTTTTTGGAGCGTGATATTCGTAACTCTTTGAACATCTAGTGCAGTGATGCCCAATACGTCGATCGTGAGCAACTGGATGATCGCATAGGTAATGTGGGTAGATCGCATTGCATTAAAAATAGCCTATCATCCATCATCAATGAGGCATTTGCCACTTGATTGACGTACAGTGCAGCCAGTCAGAGATCTCATCTCTCATCAACATATATGGTCACCGCACACACGCGGCTAAATCGCGCAGGCTACTGCAAAACTCCAGCGAACTAGTTAGCGGTTGCCAATTTATTTCGATAAAAGAAAGGATCTAAAAATGAATGGGGGAGCTGAACCAAGCAAAAAATAAAAAATATACCACTTCCATTCGGAATGGGAAGAGGACTTTTTTTTACAATGTCATATTCGAAATGTGTTTGATTTGCCAATTTACCATCGCTATTCCAAAGAAATGTGGAGCAGGGTCAATTGGTTGACATCTAATGCAATTCCTGACCACACTCTGGAATTCCTCCCTTTTTACGAGCGGGGCGAATTTTCACACCAAATATAAATACAGAGTCCTGTTCACTCCCATGTGGTTCATACTGTACTAGTTCTCTGGTTCCTGGACAGCATACTGGAGCCTATTCCTCCTCATTAACGACCAACCACTTTTTGTTTACTCGAGTTAATGCTTCCGCCTTATTTATTTCCGAAGGCACAAACACTGCTTTTATTCGTAATCCCCTATTGCGCCGTGCACCGTGCGTTTGGTGGCTTCACCCAAACCTCTTCCCCTATTTAGATTCTGGCCGGCACTTCCTCATCAGTATTCGGGGATATATTTTTCGGGTGCCTCCATTCGTAAGAGAAAATTAACCTTTGTGGTACTGTTTCCTTTCTCTGCCCGACCTTAGGCGCCATGTTATACCAAAACGTCATTTCGACAGGCGATATCTCTCCTCTCTCGGCTGTTGCTTTCGCGGTCGGATGGTGTCGGTCCACTATTCCATTTCCCCTTCTTAATAGTACCTTCTTATTTTTCATTTTTCAAGCATCGTTTGAAGGAGTCCGAACGGAAAATCGTGCCATTGTCCATTACCACCTCCGCTACTGGACCTTGTTCAAGAATCACCTTCTCTGCTAAACGGTGGTGTCACGTCTATACTCAGTTTCACCATTTCAGTCTTCATATGGCCGAAATACCTTGTGATTCGAAAAATAAAAATAAATAAAGCTTCCCCCAGAATCTTTCTTGTTTTTCCTTCTTCCTTTCTCTCAACCTTTCTCGTACGAAAGTAACAAAATCGTTTACTCTTATTTTCGGTCGAGCTTTATAGATTTTGTTCCTTCCCATAATTCGTGCATTGCCGCCGCTTCTTCTTCTCTTCCACCACGAGGTAAGCGACATCCCATTTTATCTTCTTCCTACATTCAAAGTACATTCCCTTTTACTGACATTTTCTGTAAGACTTTATTCCAGAAAATAAACTTATTCTACCCCCACTCCTGTTGTTGTAATATAATAAAATGTTTACTGCAATCTATTGCATACTGTCGTTTGTTATCCATTTCTACTCTAGTTTCCACCAAGATGTTGACAGGTTAAGGGCACCCAAATAGCAGAAAAACATATTTTGGCGGCGATGAAAGCAAATTTGAACTATGGAAAGTAAAATTTCTTGGACATATTGTAATGTTCTGCGCAAGAAGCTATCGATGCTTGCTAGGCGTCGATTAATGCCTTGCTAGGATTTTAGGATGGTTCTTGATTGTCCCTCCGGTGATGGTAGCCTCCTATTCCCTCTTGCTGCTAAGCTGCTGATTAAAATTAACCGGATGTCCGGAAGGGACCTAACTCTTGTGTCTAGGGGTTATCTCCCTTCTGATGCTGGGATATTACAATGCTTTCTCTTTTTTTTTTTTTGAGAGGGGTTTAGCAATCGAGTCTTTTGGGTGGCCGTCTTGCTCGACCTGTGCGCCTGAGGTTGGGGGTATGTTGTGCCTGGGTGTCTTTAGATTTTGCTGGTGTTGTAGTGTGTGTGTAGTTTTCATCTTCAAATGAGGAGTAATCAAGTGGGTTGTGTGTGGGGCTTGTTGGTGGTCTTGGGATTTTCTTGAAAAAGGTGGCATTTCTTGTAGTTTGGTTACCCTCATGTGTGGCAGTTATCATGGATCCCTTTTTCTTTGTCACAGTCATTAGGTTAGGTTGGTAGGGTGTGAGAGCCTTTGAGGTGTGGTCGTTTTTTATAATGACTGTGTCACCCACTCTGAGATCATTGGGTTTCACGTATGTTTTCCTGTCAGCGTGTCGTTTCATAGTTGTCTTGGCTTGTGTGTCACGCTTCCTGATGCTGGGGTCTCCAGCTATGGGTGTGATCAAGTGTGGCAGGCGGTTTTTTATGGTCTGGCCAAATAGGACTGAGGCCGGGGGTACACCTGTGGTGCAGTGTGGCATTGTTCGGTAGTCCAGTAGGAATTTGAATAATTCCTGCTTCCAGCTTCGGCCTTTAATTAGGGCAACCTTGATGGACTTTTTTACAGTGCGCATAAAGCGTTTTGTTTCAGCATTGGCCTGGGGCCACAGGGGTGTTATCTTCCTATGTTTGAATCCGGTGATGGAGGCGTAGTCTTTGAAATCGCTGCTGTTGAATGGTGGGCCATTGTCCCTTTTGAGGGATACTGGTACCCCAAACTCCGCAAATATTTTGTCCAGGCGAGGTATCACTGATGTCGTTGAGATGGAGTCTAGGATGTCAACAACAACGTTGCGTGAGTACTCGTCTGTGACGACAAGTAGGTATTTCCCATTTTGGAGGTGTCCGAAGTCAGCGCTGACTTCTGTCCATGGAGCCGCTGGTAGTGGGGACATTTGCAGTGGTTCTCTTGCAGGTTTGTGGGTGCTGATCTGGCAGGTGTGACAGTTCCTGATGTTTTCTTCTACTAGGGCCTGCATGTTTTTGAACCAGACCTTTTTTCTCGGAGGAGGGCCGTGGATTTCACGATGCCTTGATGTCCGGTATGTGCGATTTGGGCGGCTCTGCTTTGTAGTGTCTTGGGCAGTACTATCCGGCGTCCTTTGAGAATGATGCTGTCGTTGTGTGCTAGTGAGAGTTCGGCACGGTTGGCATGCAGAGTTTGGAATGTTGCTTTATCTACGTCAATACCGTACCACTTGTTGGTGAGGAGGGCTTGTATGACGGCTGTGAGTGTCTTGTCCTTTGCGGTTTCCATTGCGACTTCTTCAATCGTCATTGCTTTGGGGGTTGATGTTGAGAGGATGTAGTTTATATATTCTTCTGCTACTTTTTGTTCTCTGTCGCTCGGTGGCAGGTGTATAGGGTGACGGCTGAGGTAGTCAGCTGGGTTGTCATGACCTGGTCGGTATATGACGGTCATGTTGTACGGTTGTGTTCTCAAGACCCAGCGTTCAATGCGTGCCGATAGTTGGGAGCGGGTGTTGTTAAAAATTGATGTCAAGGGTTTATGATCTGTATGCACAGTGAATGGTGCTCCGAAAATGTATATGTGGAAATGTTCACATGCCCATGTGATAGCGAGGGCTTCACGTTCTGTTTGGGAGTATCTTTGTTCAACTGCGGATAATGCTCGGCTTGCAAATTGTACTACCTGTCCACTTTGTGACAGCACGGCAGAGATGCCTACGGGGCTAGCATCGGTGTATATCTCAGTGTGTTTGTTCGGGTCAAAGTAGGCGAGTGAGCATGCTTTGCTCAGGGCGTCCTTGATTTGTTTTAAGCATTCACTGTGGCATTCAGTCCAGGACCACTGAGTGTTTTTTTTGTTAGTTGACGTAGGTCGTGAGTCAGGGTCGCGTAGTTTGGAATGAATTGTGCACCACAGAAGTTAGTCATCCCCAACAAGCTTCTGACTTCTGATGCATTTTTAGGGTTGGGTAGCCCAAAGATAGTTTTTATTTTGAGGCTGCTTTGGTTAATGCCTTTGTTGCCAAAAGTGTGTCCGGGGAATTCCAGTGACCTTTTGTTGTACTCACATTTGCTGCCATTGAGGGTGAGACCTTCTTCGCGAAGTCGCTGGAATATTGCGCGAAGGTTTTGGTCGTGGTCCTGCTGGTCTGATCCAAAACAGAGGATGTCATCACTGATGTTGATGGCTCCATTAATCCCTGCAAGTGCTTGACTGATTTCTTCCTGGAATATCTCACTGGCGGAGTTGACACCGAAGAATAGCCTTTTGTATCTGTATAGGCCGAGGTGTGTCGCAAAGGTTGTTATGTAGCGGGACTCTTCAGCTAGTTCCAATTGGTTGTAACCTTGATTGAGGTCTAATTTGCTGAAGATATTAGCTCCTGATAGAATGGTTTTCAGTTCATCTAGTGTGGGGGTTGGGTGTCGTTTCCTTTTAATGGCCTTGTTCGCTGCTCTCATATCAATGCACACTCTGATTTTGTTTTGGTCCCTCTTCGGTACGACCACGATGGGAGATACCCATGGGGTTGGCCCTTCTGCTTTTTCAATAACCCCTAGTTTCTCATCTTTATATATTTGTTCCTCCACGTCTTTCCTTACGTGGAAGGGGATTCTGCGGTATCTCTGGGCAACAGGTGGTATGGTTTCATCTATGTGTAGGTGAACCGTTTTCCCTTTGAGTTTACCTAGGCCATTGAAGAGGTTTGCATGGTCGTCCAGAAGTTTAAGGGTGGAGGGAGGGATTTATGTGTCAGAGTCACTGATATGGTTGATGGAGAGTTTGTGTGTGTGGATAGCAGTCCTAGCCTTTTGCATGTCTCCCAGCCGATGATGGGCTTTTCTGGGCTCTTTATCACATGTATGTCGGCCTGGCAAACGGTGCCCATGAATTCTAGGCGTATGTTGAACCAGCCTAGGGCTGGGGTGGTTTCCTTTACACCAAACCCAGATATTACCGTTTTTGTGGGTCGGAGGTGGGGTGCTGGTCTCAAACGTTTGAAATCTGCCTCAGACAGGACGTTAATGGTGGCGCCTGAGTCGGCTAGTGCGTTGAACGTCTGGTGGCTATAGCCAAAAGACACGTTAAAACAAGGAAGGTTTTTCGTCTTACCTGTGTGGAACACGTATTCTATGTCACTACCGCTGCTACGTGGGTTCCGTTGGTCGTTTTCAATGCGGTTCACTGAGCGTCGATTGGTCTGTGTTCGTGGGGGACGATTTGTTTCCCGTTGTCTGTTTCCGTCGTTTAATCTTCTGAAACAGGCAGAGGTGAAGTGTCCCCACCTTCCGCAAAATGTGCACTGGTTATGACATGCCGGGCAAGACGTCGGTCCCCGCTCATGAGGGTATTTTCCGTTGCAATTCCTGCACCGGTATTGCCGGGGATAGTTGCTTGGTCGGCGCTGTTCGTCCGCGACTTTGTTTATTGGGGCGGTTGTAGCAGTAGCGGTGTTGTTGTCTTCCAGTCGCATTGTTTGTAGGTGCGACGCTATCGTCTCCGTTGTCCTTGCGTAGTTTATTAAGTCATGTAGTGACATATCCGAGTTCATGAGTCCCTTCTGGCGGACTTTTTCCGACAGGCAGCCTGTAATTAGTTGGGACTTCACCTCGGAATCCATGTCGGAAAAACGGCACATAGACGCAGCTTCCTTTAGTTTGCGGTAGAATTCTTCGATGCCTGGGCTATTTTGTTTAATTTTCCGGAACACAAATCGGTTGTATTCCGTGTCGTTTTCCGGGTTGAAGTGATTGTGCACCACCGAGACAAGCTTGTCGAAATGTGTTTCATTTTTTCTGGTGTGACTCGCTCCTGTGGTATCTCGTCGATGATGTCATTCATAGCCTCGCCGACAAAGGTTAGAAGGATTGCTTTTTGCCGTTTGTCATCCTCAATGTTATGTGCGACAAAATAGTTTTTTAGTCTTTTTATGTATTTTGTCCATCTTGCTGCTTTGGCTGTTGACTCACAGTCAAATTCGGGGTAGTGTGGAACGGCGGCCATATTGGTTATATATCGAACACGTGTTAAATTTTTTTTTTTTAAGTGTGTTGATGTTCTGTTTTTGTGAGGGTAACGACTCAGTCCTCGTCGCCAATGTAATGTTCTGCGCAAGAAGCTATCGATGCTTGCTAGGCGTCGATTTATGCCTTGCTAGGATTTTAGGATGGTTCTTGATTGTCCCTCCGGTGATGGTAGCCTCCTATTCCCTCTTGCTGCTATGCTGCTGATTAAAATTAACCGGATGTCCGGAGGGGACCTAACTCTTGTGTCTAGGGGTTATCTCCCTTCTGATGCTGGGAAATTACACATATGAAACTGCGAAAACTTCTGGAAACAATTCTTCACGGAGACGACCTACCGGACGAAAGCAAAAATGGCGACACGTTCGCAGAGCTAGTTCAATGATTGGACAACAGAAGTTTATCTCTTATCATAAGAGAAGCAAGAAATGATGGAAGAAAAGATTTTAAGGAGACATTACTTGGGGACAGGAAAATCACGTGTCATTACTCTTTATACAGAACTGACAACTGAATTAACCAAATCAACGGAAGAAAGTCTAATGCAATACGTCATCAGAACAGAGTCGATATCAAATTCTCTAAGGTCTACAGGAAACAATACAAGTGACACACCCCTTACGGCTATAGTTTTAAAATGGTTACCCACATCTTTCAAAACATTTGCAACTCTGTTGACACAAAAAGAGAAACAAATGACTTTTCGTCGAATTCAAAGTAGCATTGAGAAATTTTGAAGAAAATGAAAAATGCCAACAAGCTATAACAAGTAAAATCGTGATTGTATCATAAAAGTATGATCGGATGACAATCACACAAAAAGACATTTGACTTGTTACTCCTACGGAAAACGAGGCCATAAGTTTTTCCGGTGTTAGGAAATAAAAAAATAAGTGGTATGAAAACTGTAAGTCCCATACTAATAAAACAAAATTTTGAAGACGGAAACGGTCAGTTAACACAATATTTACCAGCAATGTTAAACTAAACATAATGAAAATAACGATAGCCATCCCTTTGCTTCTTCTGTAAATTCTGAAGATGTAACTGGAACAAAATTTTGCTATTTATTTTTAAGTCGAGTAACTCTATCTCGAAAGTTGTTCTCTCTGTAATTTCTGGGAGTGATCCCCACTTAGCTCTGCGAAAAGCGCTTGCTATGGGTGGGGGCACACTTTAAGCCTATAAATAGGTAATGATATTGTAGACTCGTCCTTTTCTACCTATCACCCCTAGTAACAGAACAGTCTATACCTTACGCATACGTACGGAAAACTTCGACCAATAAAAAACCGTACTAGGCGAATCAACAAATCTATTGGTTAACGACACAATAATCTGAAAGTTTCACGTGCAAAACAAAATTGCGCCAAAACTTCTTTGAGACGATTTTGGACTTTCAAAAACATATAAAAGAAAATACCGACTGACCAAGAGGGTCAGAGACGAACATCCACAGAGAAATTGCCAACATACTCCACGTCACTCGAAATCACGACTTTAGCGCGCAAAAGTACATCAACGCTGACTCGCTTGCAATTTAAACTCGACCAACTCTGTGGACATCAAATCGCAAACCTAAAACAACTTTGCTTATCCAAAATGAACTATACTCACTACATTATTAAGTAAAAATCAACATTCGAACGATTCAGAAATATTACAGTCAAAGTTAGACCACTCTATAAGAACTCATTCCTAAAAACACTTAACATCGACATTTTTAATGTTAATTAACACAATTCCAGAAAGACTGTAACTGAACATACAAATACAAAAAGAGACATACCGAAACCTCAAATATCACACGCACTTTGCCATAGTAACATATACCAAAATATCCTGTATATATATTACTTTCAATTGTATATAAATGTTTTGTTGGTTTCTAAATTGAATAGGTCTTGTTTTTGATTGTATTTAAAATTCGTTCATTTATTTGTTTGTGGATGCAGAAAGTCACGCAACCTACACAAATTCCTTCTGATTCACTCAATTACAATTAATTAATTTTGCACATCCCCAACAATATTCTCACATTCTCTTTTTGGTCTTTTTAGCTCTGGATTTCACATCTAGTCAGATAAGAACGCTGCTGCTAAGGCGCGTTCGCTTTCTTTGTCCTCTTTAGACTTTTGTACTCTCTCACACACGCATATACACACATGTGTTTATCACGCATGCTTGTTACACACGCACACAAAGAAGTAGATTCCTATTATAACTTGTTTTAATGTTTTTTTTTCTTTTCGTTACCATTGTCTATTCATGTAATTCCCTTTGTTAATACATGCATTATCGTTTGTTTTATATCTATTGTTTTGTTTTCTCGTTTTTACTTGGACTCACATTGAATCCGCCAATATTGTTTGCGGGATCAATATTCCAGGAGCCCGTAAATATGTACTATCCAAAATGTTGATTTCCGCAACATAATGCTGACTAATATTTACCTAAACAAACAGTATCCCGCAGCACTTCTATCACCCCAGAACAACTTCTGAAAGAATACTGAATGCATCAAGTTAAAATTGTTTATCATTTATTTTTTGAGTTTTAGTCTCCATACACGATGCGATAGATTGTATCAGGACAGGTCTTCGAACAGACTTTGTTGGTAAGCGCACTTCTTCATATCTGTGTACACTGTGTATGTGCCTCGAAAAATGAGAATGGATATTTCTTCTTTTTTATAAGCTGATACGGGGGTTTGCATTCTTATCCAAGATAAAAGTCCTTTCGACATTACCCAAGACGCAAAACTACTTCCTCTTAACTTTGCGTCTTAGGAAAAGTTGTAGTCCCCTCTGGAATTTTGTTGTTGTTTTTTTTTACTCCGTTAGGTCGTTGTCACCAAATATGTGAGATGGATGGGGTAAAGTAATGAAAATAACATTTTACGAACCAATCAAATTAATGTCAGTGAATTCAGCTGGAAGTTCGCATAAATAATAAAAGTTGCATATTACTCTTGCTTAAGTTATGGCTTATTTATAAATTCATTAAGTTTAATAAACACTATTATAGCGATCATCATCACACACACACACATACATACATACCTATACAAATTCAAATTTCAATAACAATCATTCATTGGATAGAAATCAACGCTACTGTCTTATGCGACAATTTTGAAATGGCTATATTTTTGTATAGTAGATTTTGTGCACTTTTGGGAGAATCGGCTCCCAGAAATCTCCCCAAAGCTCTTTCCCTGATTGGTCAGTACCGACCAATCGGATTGTCTGCACGTGAAGAGTGATTCTTCCCGCGCAGCACTTCTGATCCAATGATTACCTATAGCAAGAAAAAAGTGTAGACACCAGTGAGACTTCAGCTGCCACAGAAATCCACGACATTTGAAGCTATGCGCCGATCTTCTCACTCAACGAACTGCATATTTCTTACACTTACATAATTTTTTCTCTTGCATGGCAAAACTGTTAAAAACATTTATTACAAACTATTAACTCTTTCTTTTCAGAAAACTTTGATAGACAATGATAGTCAAAGAGAGACAACTCTCGTCTTACTCATTCCATGCTTTTTCTTACACATTCTTTATTGTATACATTGTTGTATACAATTTTTATATATAATGATACTTTTGCCTTGTCCTTTCTTCACATCAGTTTGGTTTCCTAATCAAAATTAAATAAATGTGGTGGAAGTCCGCCACACTATCATTGAATTTAACACGTTCTCGTATTGCTCATTAAGTTGTAATAATAATTGGATTTCCATTCATGGAGTGTTACATTTAATATTCTTTCTCTGTCTTCGTTCTCTAGGTTAACGATGAATAAAATTTAGATTTTATCCTTCCTGTAATATTAAAAGTTTTTTTGTTTGTTTCTTATAGGCACAGGTCGGATATGGAGGTGTCTTGTTTCGGTACCTAGTAGCTTGGGCTTGTGATGTTTTCATAGCACGTGGCATTAGTCACAGTGATCTATGACGGCCGCTCACACGCAGTTGATAATACTTTACAACAGTCTAACCCTAACATAACGTTGGAAACTATCACCTTTAGTATTACGTTGATAGATTAAATTATCTTGCTATGATTTCGATATTATTTATAAGTGTGGTAAAGATAATGTTCCTGTGGACATATTATCTCGGTCTTACTGTGAGATGATATTTCAAGATCAACAGATGTTTTCAGACCTTCACAAAGCTTTATGTCATCCCGATGTGACACATTTTTAACATTTTATGAAATCTAAGAACATACTCTACTTAGGGGATGTGATTAAAAGAGCCAAAGACTTTGCAGAGTTTGTGCTGCTAAACTTATTAAAAATACCCAAATCGTTAACTTTAAAGGATTTTGACTTACACTTTAAAGGATTTTGACTTACACTTTAAAGGACTGCTTCATAGCATTTCCTAACGTGAAATTAGTACTTTTTAACTACTCCCGTCGCTCTTCTTCTCGTGCCTCAGTACCATTTAATCCATGCTCGATCCGGTTGAAACTACTGATTCTCTGGTAGATGAAGATGAATTACAGCAAGGAAATCCTCACTACGCCTCTGCTTATTTCTCAAGTGGAAAGGAAGCTTCATTGTCAGTAAAACCACTCCCACTAGATGTTTGAGATGGTTGG